ATTTACACTTGTGAGCACTTGATGCTGCTTTTGAGCAAACAATACAGACTATGTCTTGTATAGTGTTCTTTACAGGCTCCATACGAAACTGTGATGGCAATTCTGCTGAAGTTGAGAGTAACTCAGTGATGACTTCTTCAACTTGCAGAGGCGATTCCTTGGAGGTGCATGGTAACTGAATATTCTTCATGACTGCATCATCAATTAACGGTATAGAAGGCAGTTTAAGATTACTATTGGTAAATTCTTGTATTTCTATAGGTGATTCTGTAGAAGCGGGGGATAACGGAATGTCCTCTTGAGTAAGATTTGACTGTGATCTCATAATCACAGTCTCTTGTGAATCTTCTAATTTTTCAAGGTCTTCTTCAGTTTTTATCGAATGTCAAACAATTCTCCGGCATGGACAAACTTTTTCAAACCTTTCTCGCGCATCTGACAACGGCTCAATGAGTTTTTCACAGCCTCGTACAGTCAACACATCACACCTTTGAATTATTTGATAATCTCGAGATGATTCTTTCTTCTTGGAAACTTTTATTTGCTTTACATCTTCAATTATGGAATCATACTTTGGTTTGTTATTAAAACACTACGTATTATATTTTAAATCTTCGCTAAAGAGGTTTGCGAAGAATCTTTTCTTGATTTTACTCACCAATTCGGTGCTTGCTTGCATTCTAGGATTTAAATTTATCTACGTAAAAAGAAGGAGTGGGGAAAGGAAGTGAAAGAAACAAACTTTTGAACTTTAACGATACGGAAGCCGTTAATGTGCAGATTACCTAGATACTCTGCAAATTACCTAGGTAATTTGAGAAATTGAACAATTTTCGCAGCTTTAACGGATCACCCTAGTTAATCTGCAGATTAGCTAGGTAATGTACACATTAACGGATTTCGAGCTTTAGTGGTAACAGATACATAAATCAAAATATATCTTAAGGTGAAAACAATGGATGTATTTTTCACAATTATATCATCATCTTATTAACATAAATGAAGGTAACTACATAATTTTAAATCTAAAAATGAATATTCATCTCTCTTAGTACATTAGTGTGAGAATCTAGGGGCAAATATTTTAGGTTAAATAGAAAGTATTAAAATTTGTCAAAAAGGAAACCTGTGTGTTAGTCACAAACGAACTATCTTTTGTTTTTGAAGGAAGTTCCTGATTTTGATATCAATCTCACCTGAGGAGAGAAGCAACAAGGAAGTTCCTTGTTGCTTCTCTTCTTAGATGACTTGAATAGCCCCTGCTGATTGGTTGGATGACTGTCCTATAAACAGAGATATCTCAAGAAAGTTGGTGTCCGAATGAAGGGGTCCTGCCAAATACAGGAGAACATGGCCAGCTCTGTCAACAACAGAAGGAAATAGAAGAAAAGTAATGAGGTATTGCAAACACGTACACTTTTTTTTTATGAGGTATTGCATTTAACCATAACACTGTAAACTCACTCTCTCAGGTTAGATATAAGGGAATCGAGTATTTGATTGTCAAATGGAAACTTTGCTTGTTTGTTTTTATTGTTGTTACTTATGTATTAAGATATACATAACAGTTTTAATATAAATAAATAGTTTATTATCGAATTAAGTCTACATATCTAGCTCCAGCTCCATTGTTAGATCGAAACCCCCTCCTGCCACTTGTATTTACCACTTAGATTCAGCCATTGGGATCGGTATAAATTTTGCAATATCACGAGTTAGAGATCGCAAGTGATCAAGTGAGAGATCACTTGATGTAGACGAAGATCTTGCAATCTATCAAACTTTTTTTTTAACATGATGGCCGCATGTAAGGTGATAAACTACCAAAATTCAAATCTTATTCAGATTCTTATATATACAGTATGTATATATTGATATATACAAGAATTGTTATATATATATTGATATATTGTTAGGTATATATATATATAACAATAATTTTGTAGATAACACCTTACATGCAGCCATCATGTTAAAAAAAAAAAAAGGACTGAGAGATCACAAGATCTTTGTCTACATCAAGTGATCTCTCACTTAATCACTTGCGATCTCTAACTCGCAATATTGCAATCTGCGAACATCCTAACTCGCAATATTGCGAAATTTATACTGATCCCAGTGGCTAAATCTAAGTGGTAAATCCGAGTGGCAGGAGAGGGTTTCAATTAGTGATGCCACAAATATTCAGCTACTATTCAGTATTCAGCCTATTCGGCTACTTTTTTTAATATTCGGTATTCAGCCAAATGCTGCATACTATTCGGCCAAATACCAAATACCAAATCATGAAAAAAAAAAAAAAAACACACATTACTCAAAAATGTATTTATTTTAATCACAAATTATTACATTTAATACTTAAAATCTATCAGTGGTAAGCTGTGATGAATGAAAACAATTTTTTCAGCATTTGTTGATAGAAAACAATTGTGCTTTTCCTCATAAACTTTACCTGCTTCTGAAAATAGCCTCTCACTATACACACTACTGCTGGGAGACGATAGATAAATCTTAGTGAATTCTGTCAGGCTTGGGTACTGTTTTGTGTTTGCTGACCACCACTTGTAAAGGTCTGTCGTCCAATGTAGGCAAACAGTTTCCATATAAAAATCAATCTCATTTGCAATAGCACTTTTCTTCTCCACATCCTCATCATTTTGCATATTTTCTGTAGTGACTTCCTCAAAACAGTTCCAGAAACTGTTGTGTATTTCAATGGTTTTATCATTTTCATTGATATTTATTTTCTTATGAAGTGGAGAAGAATCATCATCAGTACTAGGAGACTCATCACAACTAATTTTCAGAGCTTCTAAAAGAATTTTTTGTTTTGCTCTTTGCATTTGTAAGGAGGGCACCCTTGAGGAGATACCACCGTGAGGATTGTCCCCCTTTTAAGGACGCGGTGTACCCGAATCTAAACTTGCACGGAGGTCGCCCTTAAAGTGAAAGGTTACGACCCTCGCTTTGCCCGTGATCTGTCAGAATGACACGAGAAAGCCTTTTCCGTATGGGGGTCGCAGTTTGCTGAACGCAAAGACTCACACAGAGACCGTATTTACCAATTCAACGCGTTTATTTGATGGGAACTTATGCTTACAATTGGTACACTAACGTCGGATCTTCGATAGGCATCCGTCAAAGGCAGTTCGTCGAATAGTCCGTTGTTCTTGTTGTTCTTTGAGGTAGGTTCGTCAGATAGTCCGTTGTTCGGTGAGGTAAGTCATCACACACACAACCAAAATCACAGGAGGAGAAAGTTCGTCTCCTCAACCGACGTGGAGGTTGCGGGATGTTTTGCTGTTACCGGGAACTTGAATCCCTAGTCCTCTTCTTTGGAAAATCTCTAGATTGATCCGTCCTCGGGGACTGTTGTTGGTCTTCTTCACAGCGTCTCAACCTCCCAACCTCTCCGTGTCCTTGGGGCCTCGGGCTTTTATAATCTTTTCCTCCCCGAAATCCCGAGATTTTGGTTGGTCCGAATGTTGGTTCCCTGCGACTCTATTGGTTCCTGGTCTGTCGCCAGGGACGCGATTCGGGCCGAGGGGTCGCCGAAATGACACCGTCAGGGCCGTTCCCCTCCGGAGTCGGGTCAAGCCCTTTTCCGGATGACGGTCCCGTAAATTATCACCTAATGTCTATTTTTCTGTCCCGGAGAGGAGGAAGCTGTCTCAGCCGCCACCCCTCCACAGGAGTGTCAGCAGGACCTGCTTTGAACTCTCTGTAAGGTGACTGTCCAAAGTCTCCCCCGACGGTCGATCCCTTGATCGTTCTCACGATTGACGATCATGAATCTGTCAATTACCCTGGAATGTGACAATTAAATCGTCTCGCACCCTGTTCCTTGGTCACACCGGTCCTATTTACGTAATAAGTCACCGATATATTGACTTTAGCTCGGCAGCCAGTTTCCGTCCCAGGGGGAATGTGTGGTCCCGGCCTCACACATTTGAACTAATCCCAGGAAACTGGTTTTGAAATGCAGGTCAAGAAAAGTGGCAACGAGATATTTGACATCCTCATCAAAGTTGAACTGTATTTCAAGCTCAACTTGTAGTGACAATCTCATTCTCAATAAATTTGGTGTTCTATCTACAGTCTCTTCCTTTCCCAGGTATTTCAACAATGTGACAACCTGTGGAATCACTTCAGAGATGCAGGAAATACCTAAGATGGCTATTTTCGTAATCTCTTCGAACAGTTTGAGGAGTTTGATACATTGTTCCATTAGCTCCCACTGAGAAGGTGTTAAATTGTTTAAAGACTCGTGATCAGTTATGCATAAAGATACAACTCGCTTTTGTTCTAATAATCACTCCATTAAATAATATGTAGAATTCCAGCGTGTGCTTACATCTTGTACTAGTTGGTGGTTTGGCAAGTTAAGTTCTTGGCGAATGCATTTCAGGTTTTCTTGTGCTATACCAGAGTGGTTAAAATGGGTAACAATTGGTCTCGCAGCAACTACCATCAGTGTTATTTCCATTTGAGACTTCAGTGATTCCTTGACAGCTCGTTGCAGTGAATGAATAAAACAATTGGCAGAATCATATTCTACGTCTCGTACACCTTTTATCATATTGGCTCCACTGTCATAGACAAGCAAATGGATCTTGCTATGAGGAATATTCCATCTTTCTGCAATAGCATTGAGTTATTTTGGTACCAGTATGCGAGCCAGAAAACGACTTCATTGCTAAAATGCCATATTCAAGAATAAACTCTGGAGATATCCAATGTGCAGTGAAACTCAAGAAACTCTGGTTATTGTGCTGACATGTCCACATATCAGATGTCACTGATACTGCTGTTGCTTGCGAAATACTGGATTCAATTTTATAGCAAATTCTATTATATACATCAGGAATAATTTTCTCGGTCATGTAAGTGAGACCAGGTATTTTGTCTCTGCCGAATATTCGGCACTCGGCTGAGAGCGTAGCCGAATATTCGGTATTCAGCAAAATCACTATTCGTGGCATCTCTAGTTTCGATCTAACAATGGAGCTGGAGCTAGATATGTAGACTTAATTCGATAATAAACTATTTATTTATATTAAAACTGTTATGTATGATATATATATATATATATTATCCTATCTATACTATTAGCCCCTTATTTCCTAATTTTATTATTTTTTTATTTAATTAAATTAAATGTAATCAAATGCAAAATATGCTTAAAACTGAAAAAAACTAAATAAATATGTTAATTCTGACGTTAAAACTCTTAAGTTTATTGTCCTTTGTCTCGCCTTTCTGCGAAATTTGACACCATTGTCTCAGCTTGTTCACAACTGGATAACATTGAAAACAGCTGGTACTGTATTTCCTGGGACGTTTACATGTATGCCTGAGGAGATGACAGGTCATTTACATATGTACCTGAGGAGATGTAGGGTGAATACTAGCTGGCCGTATATTTCTAAATATTTTGCAAAATTTCCAATTTTTATTGCGATTTCCATCTCCCTGACTTAATTAAATGTATATATAATAAAATCTATTAATTAAAAAAATTAAAAACTATTGGATGTCGTTTTTGACATCAGAAAGTAGCTTTNAAATTTTTATCAATCTGATTAGATATCAATTTTCTCTCTCTATATCAAAATTACTTTAAATGTGTATTAAAATGTGTATTATTCATATCAAAATCTCATTAAAAAATAATTAAGAGTTAATCCCGCGTCATGAAAGGTTGGTTAAAATCACAAAAAAATTTTTTCGCGTGGGTGAAAATTTCTGAGAATGTTTGGGGACCTAGAAAACATCCAAAAATACAAAAACAATTTTTTTCCCCATGGTCCAAATGCTTGTTTTTTATGTAACACTATGTAAATGGCTCGAAAAACTCAAGCATGGGCAATTAGCTAAAGATTGGTGCATTGTTCTTCATTCTTCACTCCATTCCATAATGATTCCATTGTGGTGGCAGCTGGATAGAGAAGACAATAAAGATGTTGGCCTACTGCTCTGGGACCTTAACTTTAATCTGGGTAAATATAAATTACCCAGATTCAAGTTAAGTCTTAAATTTTTCTTTGGCAATCTGGAACATCAATATGAGTGGTCAGATGATGACCACCCAAATTTCTGAATGCTGAATTCTTATTTTTTTAGTAACTTTTTTCAGTTATCTTCATTTTTTCATTCACAAAAATTTACATTTTTCTAAGTACATAATATGCTTTAATAATTTAAATATATATACAGTATATATATATTTAAATTATTAAAGTATATATATATATATAAATGTAATAGTAATACTCACCAAAGAATCATTAAAAATACATTTTGCAACTATTTCTGGTGATAATACAGCAGCAGTTTGTGAAATTTGTTTTGTTTCAATTGGCTGCAAAAATTAAAGAAAATATATTAAATTTTTAAATATCTAAAATTTTGTTTCTTATAATATACTAAAAAATTACTAAATAAATTTCTTAATAACTGATTATATTTTTATTTTTAAATTTTTATTTTAATATCTTATCTTTGTATTTTTAATTCTTTTTTAAATAACTATGCTATTTGATAATTTTATTTTACTTACAGAATTTATAAATTCATTGACAAACAGAATAGGATTAAAACTTTTTTCATCAAAATTGTATGTTTCATGAATCTTAGCTTAGCTGATATCATATCAACAAAGGATGAACATGTTAATGCAGAAAGTTTACAGTTTATATGAATTTAACAGCCTGTGAAGTACATCTCAAGTCACTGACATGCACTGTCTTTAAATAATCCAGAGCCTCATTCAAGATTTGTGAACACCTTGTACTTTAAAACATTTCTAATTCAAAGATTACTAAGAAACTGTCTAAACAATTGGTAAAAATTAATGTTTTAATGTTTGTTCCTTATAATTATAAAAAGTCTCTTTATAACTTATGATTATTAATCTTAGCACTAGATGTGGCCTACTTACTGCTATATCAATTATGTGGTTTACATTCATTACATGTTCATTCATTCATATATTCATTACATTAATTATCATGTCATAATTCATTAATCATTCTATAACAAGTTTATATTTCAGATATTTAATTAATAAAAAATTGTAATATTACAGTAAAACCTATAAAATTGACCACTTTTTTTGTGATACCAATCAACTTCTACAAGAAAAACATTGAAAAAGCTATATGTTGTCCACCTATCTATCTTGAATCTTGACACCTTAAAAAAAATCAGCCTACTATAAAATTTCCTGTATAAGATAATCACATATATATACACAGTTTTTTTTTTGCAACTTCAGCAGTCCTATTTTTAACAGCATTAGTTAAGCATGTTTTTGAAACATTTTGTGGTGTTTAAGTTAACAATTTTAGAAGGAGAAATGCATCAATTGAGTCAAGGAGTCAAACAATATACTCAATATACAAAAAACTTAATTAACTAGCAAGGTTACATACTTGTTCTCAGTTTGAACTCACTAACTTGATCCTTTAGCTCATCACTCTCACTCCCTTACTATTGATTCAAACTCAAACAACTCTACAAGGCACAGATAAACATCTGTGCCTTGTACAGTTGTTTGAATCAATATTTAGGAAGAGCATATTTAGAACAAACTAAGGATCAGATGTGCAAGTCACCACAACTTCTTAATTATTAGTTAATCCTGTATTAATTCTTTTATTACATTCTTACAATAGCACTGCCCTTTAAGTTTTTCAAAAATTTTCTGAAATTGGTTTTTATCTTTATATCTTTATCTTTTATATTTCCTAGTTTGAATGACTATTGGTTAGTACTTCAACATATACTCAGAATCATTAAATATTATAACACATACATCTTATATTGCTGAGAACCTACGTATACTGTTTTATACCAACATTTTCAACCTGATCAGCAGGCCATCATCAAGTTATCAATTCTCTGAAATGTTTACAATTGTTCTATATTTGAATGAATATGTGTTAACAAATTCAAATTTTTATCAATCTGATTAGATATCAATTTTCTATCTCTATATCAAAATTACTTTAAATGTGTATTAAAATGTGTATTATTCATAACAAAACTTCATCATCTAAGTAAAACTTTTCAACACACATCATTAAGAATACAAAAATATGTAGGGTGGTCACAGCACTCATTCTCAAGTAACAGCATTATAAATCTGACCACACGTAGTGGGTTAAAAAGATATTTTTTAAATTAGCTCTTTAACCCATGTATGTATGTATGTATGTATGTATGTATGTATATATGTGTATGTAAAGTAATAAAACTTTATTATATACCTTTGTCTTTTGTTCTTCAATAAATCCAGGAGTTTCAGTATCTGGTGGATAAGCAACTGTAATACTAATACTGTATGGTTTTACCTAACAATACAAAATAACACAATATATGTTTTATTTTAATAACAACATTATTTAAATAAATATTTTGATTTACAAAACACAGTATAAGAAGAAAAAGGATTAAAAACAAATTGAACATTGTTATTATACTCTGTACCATACAAGTCAACTTTTTAAGCCAGCAAAATCTCCAATGTTTAACATTAATATTTCAGTTCTGGCAACTAAGTATGTCTAATTCAAAGCTAAAAATCTTGAATTTTAAACTTAATTAGATTTTACATTTGATAACATAAGGCATATTCTATCTTCCTGTATTTAAAATAATTTATCAACTCTAATGGTAAATTTTTGCTGTTTTCAAGTGCAATTTTAAATAAACTACTTATACCAGAGATGGTCAACATGTAGACTGCAGTCGACTGGTCGACTGCAAAGGTTTTGAAAGTAGCCCGCGAAGCTAAAGTTGAACAATTTGCTTTCACTTAAATTAATGTTTAAAAATCTTAATTTGATAATTTATTCTTACAATAATAGACTGTCTGTGCAACATACCCATACTGTTTGTATTTATCCCGATAAACAATGCAAATGAATGTTAACGCATGTGCATATAAAAATCCTAAAATTGTTTGCCCATATTCATATTTTACCAAAAAAGTAGCCCCTAAGGGATAAAAGTTTGGCCACACCTGACTTATACAATCAAATCACATACAACCTTTTAATAATAAGTTTTATAAGTCACACTCATGATATGACAAAGTTTATAAGTCATATGATTTTTAAAAATATAAAAATATCACTAATATACAAAAATTGTTTTGGACTGTCACTAGTGTGTTGAAACAGTGGAAGAAGAAAATGAAAACAACGGAATTTTTATATTTTTTAAACAAAATATATTATACAATTAAACCTTGAATTAAAACTATGATAAAAATGAACTTTCTTTTTAAAATATTTCATACAAAATTTTGTTTAAAAAACTGTTCTCACATCATGTTGTTCAAAACCAAGGAAAATAATAAAATAACAACAGAATTTATCTTTTTTTGTATGCTACTCATTATATTTCTTAATTAAAGATATTTTATAATACAAAAGTACAGTAGAGCATCGATTATCCGACTCAATTGGGGACTGGGGTTTGTCGGATTACTGAAAAAATGGATAACTGAAAAGTATGAAAAAATACATTATTAGTATAGTATATTATTATATCTCATGTAATTAGTATATTAGTATATCGCTATTAACCTACTTCATGTTGAATTTTCCTCCATGTTAAGCCTAACAAAATTTTTTTTAAATAATAATCGTCGCTATTGTGTCGTTAAAAATTGTGAGAATCGGGGTTTAAGCATCAAAGCTTGAACCGTTTTCCAACAACGGGGCGGTGAGTCCCGCTCACAGGGTCAGTGGATGGCAATTTAGGAGGGCGAAAATCGAGTGGGAGGTCGCGGATAAGTCGATAAGGTGTTGACCGAGTACGAGTAACCACGCATGATTAAGATATAATATAAATTTAATTAGTATATATCATATAAAAGGGTTACAAATACTAAGAAATATAATAATGTCAAAATCAAACCGATATTACAATAGTAGGTTAGTCGGATTATATCTTGGGTATTTCGACTGAGGATAGTCTCTGATCCTCTTTAATATTCTTTTCGCGGAATTAGCCCTAATCCACCTGAGAGGAAAGAGAGAGTTCTACTTACTAAGTTGTAGTTCGTAGGATCTATCTGTGTCCGTCTTTGGTGGTCAGCGATGAGGATCGTTAATCCGTTAGTTCCTTCTAAGTTGGAGGCCACACCGATACTGGCCGGGAGCCCTCTTTATGCTGATTTCAAGGGGGTGAGAACTATGACGTTATTCATGATTTATCCGCACACCTGCTAGTGTGTTGATATTTGGATCTAGCGAGTTCGGACAATTGACAGAGAAATTTGTTCAATTTATTGATATTGGTGTCAAGATGACATGATTTTATGTTATAAATTTCTGTAGGTTTGATGGCTCTCATCCATAAATTAACAATCATTTGACAATAATTTCTTTAACCTGGTCAACTATTTAGTTATTGTTTATATCAAACGTCGAGTTTGACTATGAACAAGGCGATTTATTGCCGTAACCACGTGTTACGTGC